CTTTACAATATGCCAAAAAAAAAAAAAAGAAAAAAAAAAAAAAGATTCTCCCTGACCCAGGCCATGGTTCACCCTCTTTTCCTCCATGCTTTGTGCCCTAGCTTGTAACAAAGGAAAGATGATGATTTAAGAAGTAGTTCTGTATCTTCAGTATCTTGGTCTTCCAGAACCCTCTGGTTGGGAAGGGGATCATCTTTTACTGGTCATTTCCCTTTGGAGTGTAGCTACTTTAACAGACTGAAAGAACCTCATTGGCCAAGGACACAGCAGAGGTGTTGCAGCCCAGCAGCAGCATGGCGCTCGTGAGCAGCTGGCGGGTGGGGCTGGCTGTCACCATTGTCCTGCAGTGCCGGGGGAGGGAAAGCCCGGATGGCACAGCTGATGGTTTCACAGTGATCACAGCATACAGACTTATCATGCGAACGATGGTAATTCTGGTGCACACAGGCCCTTTGCTTACATGCCTCATACCGTGATTTGTGCTTTGTTATAACAAGGAAGAGACCCTATTTATTTTATTTAAGGCAGAGCACTGAAGACACATTTTTCCAGTCCAAACCAAGTCCACTTAAGTAAAAACGACACACACACACACAAATGTGTTTCAGTCGGGCTCCATTTCCTCTAGCCCCCAGTGGATTATTGGCCATGTCTACACTTCTCCACAAAATCTCCATCAGTAGAAACATCTGGATGTTTTGCACTACATGGGAGAAAGATCCAGAAACAATTAGGGTTTTTTTTTTGTTCAACTGTTCATTGAGATGTTTGGCGTTGCATATACGCATCCACAGGTGGGACAGATGCTTGGCAAAAACACCTGTCTGCTTTCTAAGCCAGTGAGGTTGAGGTGAGAGGTTTGCCAGAGTATGTCTACCTCTGGGACAAAAAAAGAGAATTAAACCAGAAGGCGCAATGGAATGGATGCATCGCAAATAATGCATTTTCTGAGTTTCCTTGTTTAAAAAAAAGTTTTTTAAAAAAGTAAAAAAAAAAAAAAAGTAATAACATGGCCAATTTGTTACATAAATGACTTTCTGTGTACAAATTATTCCTAAAAAAGAAAAAAAATTCTGTTTATAAAAAAAAATCAGTAGATGAAAAAAATTTCAAAATGTTTTTGTATATTCTGTTGTAAGAATTTATTCCTGTTACTGCGATATACTCTGGATTCTTTACATTATGAAAAAAAAAAAACTTTGTCTATTTTGAATGGCTGAAGCTAAGGCAACTTTAGTTTCTCTTACTCTGCTTTTTTCTAGTAGTTAAAGTACTACATGGTTTAAGTTAAATAAAAGAATTCTGTATGCATTTTTGGTGTCTGATTTGGTTCCCCTCCCTTTCTGGAAGAATCGGGGGCTTCTGAGGCAGGGAAGCCGACCCACGTGTGGCCCGTGTGTTCACACATGTCGCTCGGAGGTGTTCTGCGGAAAGGCTTTGCCTCCTTTCTGACAGCTGAACCTTTTCAGCATGCAAATTGCTGGTGAAGACAGGGAAGCTATTCGCTTTCTCACTCCATTAAATCAGCTCGAAGAAAATTTGAATACATAAGATACAGAAATCTGTACTTCATTTTTGACTGATCTGTAGACTTCTGCTATATTTCCACTGACAGAAGTCAGGCCCGGGCAGGTTTGCTGTAGGTGACTCTGGGACAAAGGACTCACACTTCCCATTTCCCTGTCCTTGTTGTTACCTTGCAGCCAGCACACCTGCTCGGGATGCAGGTCAGCAAGCGTGCACAGGCTGTGGCTCGCGGGAGGTGTTCAGAACGTTCCTTTCTAACTGAGGATCTTGGCCTGTCCCAAGGCCTCTACAATCCAGGCATTGTTTTACTGCTGGGAGAAATGGCCACAGTAAGAAGTATGAATGTATGTTCAAAGGAAACAGGCTGGAAGTGTTCTGGAATCAGACCAGAGACACGCAGACACATGGGGGAGGGGCGGATGCAAGAGGACCGTTTCACTGAACTTTGATCGCAGGAAACTCCAGAAACAGAGTCAGGCCACCGTATAAAGGGCTAAACAGCAAGGTGTAGGCAGTAGAAGTAAATCAAAGGCCATAGTTATTTCAGATCTGGTCAGTCTCACATATATTTGGACCTGAAAACAAAAGGCCTTTCTAAGAGCAAGGACTCTCTCAAGTTCTCGGGGTGGCCCCGGGGTTTCTGCTTGTCACAGAGTGGCTGGCCCTCAACCTCGACCGACTGGTCCTAGATGACAGGTGGTTCCAGGCAGTCTCCAGGTTCCTTTCCGATGGGTGCGTGGGACTGCTGGGGAGGTGGGCACTAGGAGTGTCCTGTGTGGGTACACGCCGTGCTTCCTGCCAGCCGCGGTGCGCTCTGCACCCTTGCTCTGCCGGGAGCAGCGCAGTTTCTTCCCAGGCTGAAGGTGCCAAATCCTTACAAACGCCAGCGCCTCCCCCCAGCGTGCTGCTCCGAGACCACAGAGCCAGCGGGCCGTTTCCGTAATCTGGCCTCAGCAGTCCGGCTAAGAGCCCATACTCGGTATGGCGCATGTGTGTAGAGCGTGCGCTCATCCTGGCCGCCTCGCACATCCCTTCTCTCAGCAGATGCTCACAACTTGGCAAAGAAAGGCTTGTTTTTTTTTTTTTTTTTACATAGATGAGCAAACACACAGGCCTGCCCAAGACCCACCAACTAGTATGTGACCAACCCAGAGTTCAACCTGTTTACACGGGGTCAGCTTTCAAAGGGACTCTGAGCGACCGCAGCCCAGCCACAGGTGAACAGGCCCCAGGACATATCCACAGGGGTGGATGGACAGCCGCTGAGCCTCGGAGGGACCCGGGCCCTCTGGGAATCTTCCTCATGAACACCGGAGGTCACACAGGGAGAGACAACAGAGACGTGCATCAAGAGGGAGCTCTGGGCCTCCTCACCAGATGACATCTAAAAGTCTATAAAATGTGTGTGGTTTGGGGGCGCCTGGGTGGCTCAGTGGGTTAAGCCGCTACCTTCGGCTCAGGTCATGATCTCAGGGTCCTGGGATCGAGTCCCACATCGGGCTCTCTGCTCAGCAGGGAGCCTGCTTCCCTCTCTCTCTCTCTCTCTCTGCCTGCCTCTCTGTCTACTTGTGATCTCTGTCAAATAAATAAATAAATAAATAAATAATGTGTGTGGTTTGGTGCCAAGCAATCTGAAATAACTCTGAAGCAGGGTCCTGAGGCCCCCTGCTTACTCCTGGCCTGAGAGGGAAGCTACAGTGGGGAAGGGGGACAGGGCTGTCGGTGCCAGGTGTTTGCCTCCAAATCTAGAAGCATCTCTGCATTTATAACCATGCAGCCGGACCTGCACGTGCTGGCCATGCCATCCCAGCCCACTTGGCCGGCTCTGATCTGCTCCAGGGGACTCTGATCTGTTTCATGTCAACTAAGCCAGTTTCCTTTGCAAAAGGGGTCCTGTATAGTCTGTACCAAAGGCTCAAGTATGCTAGAGAGCTAATGATAAAACAAGCAGAGTCTGCCTGGTTCCTTTGTTGTTAACCGGCACATGCTTTTCCTTAGAGTGAAAAAATCTGGACACAGAATAAACAATGCTTTAAAAAAAAAAAAAAGTAATTAAGTGAAAGTGATAGCTATGAGCACAACACCGTAAGAAATTTCCCAGAGCTTAGCCACAGCTACCTTCCTCCAAAGGGTGGCATCAACCTCATCATCAACCCCTTCCTCCAAAAACCAATGCATCTCAATGGATATTTGCCCCCAGAAAACCTTAGACAAGCAAAACCTTGCTTTGAGCAGCTTGGCGCTCAGAGCCAGGGCAGCGTTGCCCAAAGGCAACATGGTGGCTGGAAAGGGGAGATTCTGGTCCTAGAAGGTAAGGATAACACCCAACCTGGCAGAGAAGCCAAACCTGGCTATTATCCTTTGCTTTAAGACCAAACACGACTGTTAGGAATATAAAATAGTGCAGCCACCATGGGAAACAACATGGCAGACCCTCAAAACCGTAAATACAGGAACACCTTATGATCCAGCAATTCCCCTTCTAGGTATATAAACAAAACAACTGAAATTAGGGACTCTAACATATATTTTTTTTGCACACCAGTGTACACAGTAGTAGTACTCATAATAACCAAAAGGTGGAAGCAACCCAGTGTCCACCAAAGGATGACTGGATAAACAAAATGTGGTCTGCACAAAAATGAAATATTACTCAGTCTAAAAAAGGAAATTCTGACACATGCTACAACATGGATGAACCTCAAAGACGTTGTGCTCTGTGAACTAAACCAGTCACAAAAGGACAAAGAGTATGATTCATGTATACGAGGTCCTTGGAGTAGCCAAATTCAGAGATGGAGGATGGAATAATGGTTGCCAACGGCTAGGGGGAGTGGGAGGGATGTTGTTTAATAGAGACAGAGTTTCAGTTTGGGATGCTGAGAAAGTTCTAGAGATAGACAGTGGTGATGTCTGTGCAACTGAATGTCCATAAACACTGAAAAACGGTTAAAAGGGTAAATTTTATGTTGTATATTAAATACAATTTTACTACTAAAAAGAGTAGAAAAAGAAAAACCAAACAGTAGAGATTTGAGGGTCAGAAGCAGCACACGGCACCTGATGTATGAGGGTGGAAGCCAGGGAGGGGTACCAAGTGGCTGCTCCCCGCCCCCGTGTTTCCCCCTGGCCAGCTGGTCATAGATCAACCCACCACATGCAGCTCTGCCCAATAGGTCTGCGGTCTTAGCAATCTGGGCAGGATTCCACAGGCCCCTGCGCAGTCTTTTTAAGAGAAAAAAAAATTACTAGGATTTCATTTTATTGTCATGAAAACCATAACTGAAGCTAGTTAATCCCTTGTGAAATGTCTGCCTTTCATAGTGTTCTTCTTTCTTCTGACAATAAAATAACCCTTTGTGATTTCGTTGGGCTAATTCAGAGCTTTTTTTCCTCGTGTAAACTGTTTTACAAGCCATTTTTTTAAAAGTCTCTCAAAGCACAGCTGAACTCTGCACACAGGATTGAAACATTTAATTTTCTCTAAAGGAGCAGTCCCCCAATTGGTTCCCCTGGGCTGGAATCGCTGCGGTTGAGTTTTCTGCAAACGAGGCTTCAAGCTCAGGCTTTCTCAGCTCCTCCAGCATGTCCTGGATGATGACTTGCAGGGCTTTGCCCAGCAGCCTGGCTGGGAACCAACGGGATAACCGAGGCACGTGGATGAGGGCCGCATACCCATTTCCATGATGCAAAGACAGGTAGTAGGTGTAATCACAGACGTATCTGCAACCACAGGAAGTGCTGTATTACTACTCCCTGAGCCAGCCTCTAATCCCAGGGAAGTGTAAGCATAAGGGACAATGCAGCATCCCCAAAGCATGAAGACCTCGGACTGCCACCCAGGGAGACTTAGGTTTTGTTCTTCTGTCTTAGAAAGAAGAGTTGCTGGAAATGAATCGGGGAGAGACTGATTCTTGGTCTCACGGTCCCACAGTCAGCAAGCAGCAGAGCCTGGGAAGGGACCAGATTTTCAAGCAACTAGTTCAAAACACTTTTACACCCGAACCCCTCTCATTCATGTCTACTGAGTCACTTGTTTATTCATTCTTGGGGAGCGGTGGGGGAGGGGAGTGGAGAAACTATCTACCGGCGGGTCAGAGTTTGGAGGAACCAAGGCAAATTCATCTCTATGTGGGGCTAAATCACAATAGTTAACTCACAACCTGGGCGGCCATAGAGAAAAACAAAGCATCCACAAACATCAGTGGTTCTCAAAATATGCCTTCCCATCTCTTCTCTATCCAAGCACCAAAGGCCGGGGTTGGGGTCGGGGGCTTTGGACCCGAGACCCGGGGCGGGGACGACAACTCGGTGGTCTGCAGGAGCCCCCCACCCCGTCCCGGGGTGGCACCGCGTGATCAAGTGCCCAGCCGGACCCCGCAGTATGGCCTTCCCGTAGGGAAGGGGGATATCCGGGGAGAGACCCTCGTCGGAGGACGCGCTGCGGTCGTTTCCCCTCCTCTACCCCTTCAGACACCCAACACCCACAGGAGGTACCTGCCAGCATCTCGAGAAAAGATCACCTCCACACCCTCCACCGCGAAGCGCTTGCACACCGCCTTCATGCTGACCTCCGAAGCGATCACTTCCGGGCCATCCGGAAGGCACTCGCCGCGCGCCGGCCTGAAGCCCCGGATGTCGGCGTCGTGGTAGCTCCGGTTCTTGGCGCACTGCTCCAGAATGATGGCCTTGGCGGAGGTGTCCATGCCGATGTGCACAACGAGCTGCATCCATACATGCGGCGGCCAAGAGATTAGGAAAACTGAGGCCTGCTCTGCTCCCCGGTTATGGCTGAAGGGCCAAGCCCAGCAAGAGCACAGGGTGCAAAGCATCACAAAGCCCAGATCTGGCACTCACCTCCGGGCTTCCCCGCTGACTCTTCCCCTCCCCTCCCCCCACCATGAATGTGCAGGAATGCAAAACAACTGGATAGAAACCCATGTGACATTTAATTTAACTACTTTTATAGGCGCAAATATTCTTGACGGGTGATGTGTTTCCCCTTCTTTTCCCTGGGGAGGGGTTTCCCCCCCCCCGCCCCGTAGCTAAGACTAGCACAGGGGAAGCTTACCATTTCCGGGGAAACTCCCCTCTCCCCTCTCTTTTATGAAACTCTAATAAAGGAAGTAACAGTGTGATAAAATACTCTTGGGATTTTTTGAGCTGATTATTTTTCCTTTTTGAAAAAATAGCCGTGTTGCGTTTTATCAAAACACCTGGGGCAGTTGTCTTAATGGTTTGGTGGTGTGTGTTGTGTTAACCGCATCATCAGGACTTTCTATTTTTTGGATATTTGTACCAATTTTTTTATATAATGACTGTTCAGATAAAAAAAGGCTGGGTGTGATGAAGATGGGACCTCCCTAGATGAGCCACCTGCCAACCTCCCTTCCAGGCGCAAAAGGTCCTTGTCTCTCGCTTCACCTCACAGCCAACCTGCCCTGCATGGCCATGGCTGGGACCTAACCCAAGGGCTTATTGGTTGGGTGGAAACTATCTCTGAGTCCGGGCAAAGAATAAAGATTCCATTTATTTTCCTCCTTCCCTGTCTCCAGAATCTTCTTCCAAGATCCACTCTTTATTTCAGCTTAAACTTTTATGAACAGACTCAGAACCTTAGAAAATTGGCTGGGACCTTACTGGTGGGACAACCCTAGAACCAGGGTCCAGGTGTTTACAGGCTCTGGAACTCCACCACGTCATCATCTCTGACCCCATTCCCCCAGCTTCACTGCCTCCCCAGCCATCGTTTACTTGCGGTTTAAGATCTTCCCAGATTCTGGTGACCTTCTGCTTCACCTCCCTGTAATCTACAGGCAGCTGGAGAATCCGCAGCTCTACGTCCTTGTCACCGTTCAGGCCCAGCTTGGACAGCTCCTGCAGGAAGAAGCAGGTAGACTCACCCTAATGGGATGACCCTGAAAAGCTAACACTTGGGTCACTCACTCTATTCCCAGGGTCTTCTGTGGGCCTGGACCCTGCCCTCAAGGAGCTCATGTGCTGGTGAGGGGCCAGCAGGAGAGTCACAGTTCCTGCCCCTCAAGGCCCCAAAAAAGGGGTACCCCTACGGCATATCTGACCCAGCCTGCTGGTTAGAACGATGGTCCGCAAAAGGGATGCAGGGTAGATGTCGAGAACAAATGGGACTGACCCAGATGAAGAAGCTGGGGACGAGCGAGCCAGGCAGGGAGCTCCAGAGGCACGGGGGAGAATGAGGACCAGAGCCGCTGGGAAACCTAGTGGGACTTGGTGCTGGGCAGTGGGTGTGGGGCAGGGAAAACCTTCCTCCGGGTGTCCTGCATCTCCAAGGACAGGATGTTTAGCACCCCTGGACTCTGAGCCGAGCATTAACTGCCTGTGGCACCCCTGGGCATTCTGACAAGTAAGCCAGCACCATCAATGGTGTAACAGGAGGCACTGCACGTGGGTAAGGGTGGGAACAGAAGCTAGAAAATTCTATGGAATCCAGACTGGGTGCTCCATTAAAGTTTGGACTTTAGCTAGAGCAAAAGAGAGCCATCCAAGGATTGTGTGCAAGGAGCTAATGGGTCAGAGCCTCTTCCTAAAAGGATGGCAGTGGAAGGGGGTTGGGGGTGGGGGTGGGGATCATGAGGTTGGCTTTGGACCTGCTGAGTTTGAAGGGGAGGGACCTGGCTTCTTGGCTCTGTGCGTTTGGAGCTCACAGAGAGGATTCTGGGAAGACAGTAGCATGTCAAGGCGGCAAAAACATGGGTTTAGATGAGATCTGGATGGGGTGGGGTGGGGGGCAGAGATAGGAAAGAAGTCCTGTGGAGAAAAACCCAAGGTCAGGGAGCACCCTCCTTCACGGGCAGGAGTTTGGAAGGAAGAAAGCCAGAGAGTGAGATCTTAGGCCTGTGCTGTGCACTGTTGGGAAACGTTAAATCAGAAACCTGCAGGCCGTATCCTTTCCCCACTCCAGGAGCTGGGCTTGTCACCAGGATGGTTTTGGATTAGCACCTCTCTTTTTTCCTGCCTCCCTTCGCTGGCAATTTAGGATATCCAGGAGCGTGTCTCCTTGGAGAGAGGTTGCTGTTGGGCTTGTCAGGCCTGCCCAAAGTTCACAGACGGGACATTCTGGGGCCCTGCCCTGGGCTTCAGAGGAGACAGGCTGGGATGATGGGCCCCGTGCAGATTGGCCTCTGCTGCTCTCATGGAGGAGAGCACTTCTGGCTGACTTTCGATGTCTCAGGTCTGGCCTCGACAAGCTCGGCGGTCCTGAAGGGCTCAGCTTGGCCCACCAGATACCCACTCAGAAGCCCAGTTCCTCCACCCGGCTCAAGCTTTTTCCTCTTCCAAAAGTAAGTGCCAAGATCACATCCCCATTTGGGACCTGAAGGGGGGACTTCATTTGTCTGACTCCGGTGGGGGGAGGCAGGAAGGAGGGCCGGGTCACCTGGGATGGGGGCCTGGAGGCTGAGCTTCCAGATGGACATTCCAAGGGCCAGACAGACCAAGGGGGTTCCAACTCCCGTGTCCCTGTCTTGACCTGTCCTGTGGGGCATGAGTGAGACAGGAACAGGGAGGCTGGACCCCTCTAGAAGCTCCCATGGGAGACAGGCAACACTCAGGCCTTTGCCTTTGATGTGAGGAGGGTGAAGAGGCCGTAGCTTGGCTCTGGCTGCTTCTCAGACCCTAGTCATCTGTGAAGAACTAGTTTCTTCTACTCGGTGGCATTCTCACGGGGTCTGGCTCTGAGCAAAGCCTGCAGGGGAGCCCCAGAACCAAAGAGAATTACCAGGGAATCTGCCTTCAGAGCTAACCCCCCAAGAAGCTGCTGTAGCCCAGCCGTCAGTGGAAATGTCAAGTAATTACGCTCACTAAGCCTATAAAGACGCGGCGCCCCAGGGATAGGGACATCCACCCTGAGCCAGGCAGGCCTGGTCAGGCCCAGTCAGGCCCAGCACCCAGCCATGCAGTGGTGACCGGTCAGCGCCCCCTCTTCGCAGAGGAATGAGGCTCTGGTTCTGGGTTGGCACACGGAAGCCCAGACCAAAACAGGCTGAGGAAGGAGCCCCCCCCCCTCCCTTTTTTTTCCCCCTACCTCAGCTTTTTCTTGCCACCCCACGCCACGCCAGCTGAGGGGAGAGGAGAGAGGAGGCAAGCCCCTGGACATGTCGCAGGTCCCACAGCTGCAGCTGGGGTTCCGGGGACTGGCTTTGGGGAGCTCTTTGCATGAGTTTCCTATGGTGTCATGACAAAGTGGGTGGCTCAGTCACAAATTTTATCACCCAAACCTGTGAGAAAGGAGCCCAAAATCCAGGTGTCGGCAGGGCCATGAACCTGTAGGAGGGGGACCCCGCCTGCTTCCTCCAGCTTCCGGGAGTCCCGGGCAGCCCTGGGCCTCCGCGGTGTCTCTGCGGGCTTCCCCTCGTCTTCCCTCCGCACACAGCTACCTCGAGTCCAGGTCCCCCCGTTTTATAAGGACGCCCAGTCCCTGGCGCCGTCTGAGGCCGTGCTTCCCAGAAGGAAGTGCCAGGACGCTGAACTGTCGCCGTCCTCGGCATCCACAGAGCCGCTGTGGGATGGACGGTGTTCAACATCCAATTTGACCACTTTGTGTTTTTTTCTGTATCTGGAAAATAATTCCCAGGAGATTAAAGCATCCCGCTTCCGCTCATCACGCGTTTCCTTTTAAGCTGCCAACCTGATGCCCAGATGCGCTTGACCGCAGGCTGGTGCTCGCGTGCCCCCCTCCCCGTGGGTTCTAGCGGAAGTCCGCGGCCACGGCCCAGCCCCATGGAAACTGCGGTAGAGGTCATGCGGTCACGGACTCCGGGTCGGATAAGGACAGGTGCCACACGCTGCGTCCCGTCAGCTCGGCCGTGTGTGGCCAACCAGTCAATGAAGAAAAGCTTCGTGTCTAGAGACCCTTGGATGTGAGAGTTGCAAATAAGGGCTTGTGGACCTGTGTCGACTTGAACGTGTTCAGGCGTTGCCTTCAGTGTCTTCCTGGTATATGCTCTTTCTAACAAGAATGTCACCCTCTTCTTCTCTCTCTCTCCACTGTTGTCCTGACGAGGGAAGAGCCTGCAGCTTGGCGGGTCTGCCCGGTCACCAGACTCTTTTCAAGCTGCAGAGCCTCCCCAGGGAGGAGGTGACCGCGGCCACCCACACTGTATGGTTGCAAGTCCGGGGGCCTGAGCTGGGTCCCCTGGAGCCTTTCAACCTGGGGGCGGGGATGGGGGTGTGGATGACAACTCAAGGACAGCCGGGAGAGCGTCCATACCTTCATAGGCTGCAGGCCTCACCTGGGCCCTGGCCAAGCCGCCTGGGCGACCATGGGAAGTCTGTGGCCATCCCAAGGTCACCAGGACTGGTAAGGGACCGTAGAGGTATAAGAGAGGGTCCTATGAACTGAAATGTGCCCCCTCCCAACATTCATAGACTGAGGCCCTACCCCTCCCAGTGTGATGGTATTTGCAGACAAGGCCCTAGGGAGGTGACAGATGAGCTCAGGAGGGTGGGGGCCCCGGGATGGAATTAGAGTCTGATAAGAAGAGGAGGAGACAACCAGAGCCTTTCTTTCCTTGCTACATGAGGACACAGCCAGAAGGTGGCCCTCTGCCAGCTAGGGAGAGGGTTCTCACCAGAAACGGAAACTGCTGGGGCCTTCGTCTCACACGCGGCCTGCAACTGCAGTCCTGACTCGGGATATTGAGGAAACTTTTCTAACTTGACATTATGAAGAGAGTCTCCAGGCACTACCTCATGGGGACAGTCTGCTCGTTCTCTCATTCTCTCTCTCCTGCTCACACACACACACTTGGTGTCCTGGGCCATCTACCAGGGCCCATGGCAGACAAAGGCATTTTACAAAAAAGAAGGGCAAGCTAGTGCTCCTCACCAGCCTAAGTCTAGAACGAGGAGGGCGCAGGGCAGAAGGGGAACACGGACAGAGCCAGACCCCAGCTACAGGGCCACAGCGAAAGGCGTGGGCTTTGGGGTCAGGAAGACGCTGGTTTGAGACTTGTCTCTGCCACCTTCCAGCAGGCGAACTCAGGCATGTTACTAGCCTGGGTGTGACTCCATTTTCTCATCTGTGAAATGGGGAGAATGAAAAATCTGAACAGTTTTCACGAATATTAAATAAGAAGATTCACCAGAAAAAGTGCCTAGCACAGTGCCTGGCACACAGGGATTTATATAAGGGATCAGTGCTTATAATTAATCATTATAATTGGGAAAGTCATGCAAGGATTTATTGAAAGTGACATTTAGTAGAATTTGATGAGCCTGGGGCCTGTCAGAAGCAGTGAGTCGAACATTCTGCCTAAGCAGAAGGCAGGCCTTCTCTCTGCTGAGCAGGGCTGGTTGTTTTAGCAAAGAGAATGTAGGTTCTGTGCAGACCTGGAGGGAGCCAGGGGTTTGTGCTTCCCGGATTGGCACAATGCTTTGTGCTCAAGGAGGGGAGAGAGAGTGAGCCTGGCATAACCACGCTTGCCACAGCGGAATCCCAAGGGCTGTGCCAGCCAGAGGAATGATAAGGCCCAGCAGGACGCTGAGTGCCCACGCAGGGCCCATAGTCCCTCAAAGAAGCCCAAACCCCACCAGGTGCTAAGGTCCTGGGGAAGCAGGGAGCCTGCCTTCTGCCTCCTTCTCCCACTTCTTCCTGTCTCTGCATCGCCTGAAATCTGGTCACCAGGAACACATGGTAGTTTAACAAAGGGAATCGAAGAGAGGGAAAAAGACACCAGTTGCTCTCTGAATTTTTTTCAAATCCACCGAGGCTGGGACACCAACTGGTGTTGGAAAAACAGTTGCTGTTTTTTCCAAAATGTGATTGCTTCCCCTATCAGATGAGAGTTCCCGGCTAGGACCGGCAAGCAAGGATGCGTCTCTTCATTCAATCATTTGAG